CTCTTCCACTGAGATGCAGTACACACTGGGCTAGATAAGCCTATGGTTAGATTCAGTATGGTATTTCTTACGTTTACTTTTGGTTTAGGCACGTTCAGCTACACGGGGCCCATAATACAGGCCGAGTTGTTGGTTCCATAATGACAGATGATATAGTGTTGCCAATTAAATTACTAATCCCATGTTTTGCAGCATCTATATGTGCTTTTGAGAGCCTCCTAAACTCTTGAGATCCAATGAGATTGGACCACAACAAGGATGTATTAGAAATATAAATAGTTCATTTACATCTATTTCAGAATGATGCTATAAAGAAGCATTTGTAAATATATGTGCTGTTGTATAAATACATATATAGGGCCCCATATACATTGTAAATGTTCCTATTTGTATACAGTACTGTATCTGTTACATAACCAAGTTATGGACCAGATTTAATACATAGTCCTCCGCTTGTGTTTGTATAAAATGTGACGCACACATTCTTGCACTTGCAGTTTGCATACACAATGATGTTTGCAAATGCTTACTTTGGCATAGCCTCTATATTGCTTAATTCTGTATCCAAGTGTTAAACTGGAATGCAAAATATTTTCAAAAAACTAACGCAAGCGTGTGTGTGCAAAGTCATATATGCAAACATATAGAAGCTAAGCAGAACATTGTCTGAAGCTACACTTTTGCTGTGTTTAAGCAAGTAGCTAGGAAACACTGGGCTAGCTTCATCCCTAAGTTTACTGGAGCTTCATCTAATGAGTAATTTCTAAAAGCTCAGTGGAGTTGCACCAGCAATCAATTTGACCAGTCCACTGACATTACATATAAATGTGCAATTCTGTAGTAAACAAGAATTCATAACTGGTGAAACAAAGAAAAAAGCCATTTACTGCCTAGTTTCACTGTAGTTCACAGCCACGTGGGTGTTCTCTGAGCTTCGCAGTTGTTCACTGACTGTTCCCGAGCGGCTCACTTCCCACAGCGCAAGCTTTAGTGCCTCAGAAACTGTTGCTCTAACATGGACTTGGAATTTTTTGCTAATCAAAACATAGAGGATTGGATTGAGACAACTATTAATGAAGGCAAGGCCAGTTGAGAGGGGAATGGCATCCTGAAGCAAGCCATGTAAGTGTTCGCTATGGTGAGCAGATAGTTCCAGAATGCTAAATATGTGGTAGGGTGTCCAGCAAACAAAAAAAGCTACAACTACCGCAACCATGGTCCAGAAGAGCCTGCTGGAGGTTAGTAGGGTTCTCCTCTTAACTTTGACAATCAGAAGTGAGTAACAAAGGACCATGGTCACCAAAGGAAACAGATAACCGCACACAAACCTCACCCAAATCAAAACATGATGTCTCATAACAATGAGCTCTTTGTCATGGAGGTGAAAGTTGTTGTAACATATGGTGTTGTTGTTATGAATTGTCGTGTCTCTGAAGTACAAGGCCGGGCCACCAATAATAGCAGCCAAGAGCCAAATAATCCCGCTAAGAATGAGAGCATTCCTAAGGGTCCAATACTTGCATGAAAAGGTGGGGTGGACCAGGCGTATATAGCGATCGAGGCTGATGAAGGTCAGGAAGAAAACACTAGCAAACATATTCAATAAAGCAATAAAGGAGTTAACTTTGCAGAGCAACTTCCCAAAGGGCCAGTGAAAGCCTAGTGCTACATATATAATGTAGAAAGGCAAGAAAAGAACAAAGATGAAGTCTGCAATAGCCAGATTGAGGAACCAGAGGGTGGAGACTGATTTATTCCATTTAAACCCCATAAACCAGATGACTATGGCATTACCTGGCACCCCTAGGAGAAATGCCACACTACATAAAGAAAGGGAGACCATATGTGAGACACTGAGATGGGACTGGAACTGCTCATCTTCCTCATAGTTATCATAAAAATAGGTGTAGTTGTCAAAATCTTCCATCTCCATGGTGTACTGGCTGCTTTCTGTGGAGAAAAGGGAATGGGAAACTCTTAGGTTAAATTATCCTTAATTGTGTTACTAATAGCACCATACATTCATTCATGTGCTTCAATATCAAAAACAAATCCATCAGTTTCTTACTTCGAGTCAATATTACTTCTTGGCAGCCAAGTTCCAGCACAACTCTTTATTTGGGTTGCAGACAATGCAGGACAACACTTCTACCCCGACAAAGAACTACCATATTCCCTTGCATACAAACACACTCTCAGATAAAACATGCCCTTTGCTTCTGGGAAGTAGAATGTAGGAAAAAAAATTTCTGGAGTCATGGCTGACTGTGACACAGTTAGTCCTGGAAACACAGTGTGTCCAAGAAGAGTGGCATCCCAGGAGACCATATGCATGAGGCATCCTGCAACAAGAGCTTCCTGGTGTGCCTGTCATGCAAGGTTAGGTGTCAGACTCTAGCAAGGGCAGTAGCAACACTGTTAGTTCTTTACTGTAATAGTTCTTTATATAAATTCCTGTAAATAAAGTTTTTCCACACTGCAAGCCTCATCAAAATACGTCCAGCAGCTTGCTTGCTGCTTTGGGCACAAAGACAAAGGACTCTGCCTCTTCCGCTTGCTGCGCCAGACACAAGCAGCAGCCTCTTGGCAGCTGCCTGGAAAGCACAGTGCCTCTATGTGTGCTTCTTTTCCAGTGAAGAAAACAGCTTCCTCACTTAAAACATGTACCCATGTACCCTGATTGAATTTTGGATATGTGGTATGCAAGAAAATACCATATTTACAACAAAACTTGAAAATCTCATGATTATTCTTGGTACTGATTTTTGCAAAAAACAAGGCAACACTACCTTTTGGACCTAAAGTGATAGACTGTGGCTATTTAAAGAAAGTGACCACGAGAGATGCAGATTTTATGTCACAAGGCCCATATTCCCTCACATTCAGCATGCCCCCACCTCCCCACTCCAATAAAACATGCCCCTTGTTTTTGGAAAGAAGAATGCAATTTGGGCTGGCTCCTGTATCCACTGACATCTTTGAGAAGTCTGAACTGTTTGAGATACAGTTTGATCTGTGTAGGCCCAATTCTCAGCTAATGTAAGTTAGTATGCTTCCACCAATTTAAGTGGAAAGGTAAAAATGTACCCCCTTATTTTTTTAATAAATCATTTACTAGGGGATGTTTCTTTGTATTTTCAAAGCAAACCAAAATCTGTTTTTTTTCTTTTTTTTTTAAATTTACTTACAGGATCAGGACTATTTATTAATTAGATTTATATGCTGCCCTCCCCAAAAGAAGTTCAGGGTGTCTTACAATAAAAAAAATAAAATAAATTATAACGACAAATACAAAAACACAAAATTTATTTTTTAGAACAAACTCCCCAAATATTTTTAGAACAAACTCCGCAAATAATGCTCCAGATTTAACTCTGCCTGCTGAAGGCCTGCCCAAATAAAAAGGTCTTACAATGCTTCTAGAAGATGATCAGTCTAGTCTTGTGGTCAGAGCTGTGAACTAGGCATGGGAAGACCTGGACCAGTGGTTCTCAGTCTTTTAAGGTATGACATACCCCTTGTTAGAACACAATGAATTCCTATTTGAAATCTCTCAATTTATCATGTGAAAGTACACTGAATAGTGTTAACATTGTGTGGCACCCCACAGCACCCTTGAAAGGATCTCAAGGCATCCCATGGTGCCACATCATCACCCTGGCTGAGAATCATAGAAACTGTCTCAGTTTCTCAATGTCACCGAGTTCCTGTTTTATGAACTTGTCTATAATCTTTGGCAAATTACTTAATTTCTCAGTTATGTCTGCTTCCCTCTCTGTAAAACAGTGACAGTATTACTCCCCCCTCCCCTTCCCCCACGGGGGCTGACAAAATGAATTCAATGCCCTTACCAAAGATGTGAGAGATCCTTGTTTGGAAAGCACTATAGAAGTGCAAAATAATAGTTCTCTTTTTTTTTACTCTGGGATTTTACAGATCCTATCTCCTGTTCCATGATGTCTGTGGCAGAAATCTGAGAAATACCAGGCGTCTGTGTAGGCGAAAGGGTACAATTAAAATGCCAGGGAGCCAAGCAATGTTTTATTAAAAATGCTAAAAATATAATATGGAAAACCAAAATTGTAGCTAGCTAAATTATATATAATAGTTTCTCTAGCAATTTAGAGGTCATATATTTATTCCACTACTTTTGCATGTCTTTATATTAAGAAAGGCTGATAGTCAGACATATTAAACTCTCCACACTTCATAGGGACCAATCCTGACACTTTTTTTTAGTGTTAAGCAGCATTTTGTTCTTTGAGCAATCCCACTGGATTCAACAGAGCTGCTCATGAAGTAATTCAGCAGGCTGTCAATATCTGGCCCTTAATACATAGTTTAGTCGACAACTAATACATGCAAGTAATAGGAACACAATGAGCTAGGTCCTCAGCTTAAGTAGGACAACTAAACTCTAGTGCTGTAATTCCAGATTTATACTGGTGTAAATGAGATCTGAAGCTGGCCGTTTATAACTTGGTGCACATTTTTTGTTCCAAATATATATACCAGATATATCTGAAGGTACTAACTAGCATCAAGGATATAATGCCACTTTTGCTGCCTGAAAGTAATGGATTTCATACTCTTTCACAACATTTTATATAATGTTAACTGATAAAGCTAAGCTATTATCTGTTTTTTAGCCACTGGAATTCTCTCACACAATTGCAACCACAGTGAGGAATTTGACTATTATAAATCATTAACTCTATTTCTCTTCAGCCACAAAGCAAAAACTGTTCTGCAGCTCATTCTAAAAGGTATTTATTACAAAGCAAAATACAAAAAGTACTCACTGCTTGACTTATGCCATCTGAACTGGCTGGTGGCATGAGATGAGGTTGAGCCACTCCTCATTTTTTTCAAGCTCTCTATTTTGTTTAGAGCTCTCTATTTAGAAACCTTTAGTATGCATGCATGTTTACAGATGCCCCCTTATAAATAGGAATCCCTTCTCCATAGAATAAGGATGGCTCTTAAAAGATCTGGGTTTAATGTTTGGGCTCTGCTACAGACTTCCTATGTGACGTGAGACAAGTCCTTTAAGTTTTTGGTACATCAGTACTCTTGATCCTTCATTTCCTAACATAATGGGGTGTTCTAAGGATAAAGCTTAGGGAGGTGTTAATGTTGGGTACGATTATTATTGGTGCCTATGGTTACTTAAGAGAATTTGTCCTGAATCTGTTCTTTAGCTGATAAAATAGTCTTTTCCAAAATAATAAAGTTCTCTGCCTCCCTTTTTGGAATTTCAATGCTTTTCTGCCTTCAGTTTTCAATTAAGCAATAACAATAAGACTGGCTTTGGGCTCTCTTTCTTACTCTCTTTCAAAGTATTTAAGGAAGAATCCTATGTACATGCTTATATTTAAGCATGTCACTGAAGGAATGCAGAACTGGACTCCAGGTCTGCATTCTGAATCTTAACTCCTGAACAGAACTAGTTTGCAGAGATATACCAATCAGCTAGTCTGTAGTATACCTAATAAGCAATACCCTGTCTGCTTAAAGACAAGCATGTGCAGAGAATTCTCCCTTAAATACTTGCTTAATGCTGAGTTTTTGTTTAAATCCCACAGATTTAACTGAGACCCAAGCACATGCTTACATGAATCCCTAGAAACCTACATTACATTAGCTATAAACCTGTGAATAGTGGTGAATTTTAAATGGGGCCCATATTGTATTCAATGACTACAAATATATTTGTTTCTATCACTGGATCACAAGTCATGATTTTTGCCAAAGACCAAGCATGGAAAATATCAGGTTAACCCAGAATATTTTGAAAAGTTGGAAAAAACCCAAAGGAAATACTTTGCAGCCTTGCTTAATAAGTGCCACACAGGCAATTGCTATGCAGTGGAGATAGGAAATTCCTTAGAGGCAAGGGATGTTCA